CTCATCTTTGTGCATTGTGGTGAAACAATTGAAACATATACTCACACACTTAAAAATTCTTAGATGAATAATATTTGGTTTTTGACTAAAACCAATCGTATAATGGAGAATTTATAATAACTCGTTTGGCCTGATGCATGCAAATGCTACTGCATCCAAAATGGTATGTCATCAAATAGAAATTGGGAGTTTAAATTTAATAAGTAATGGCCTTGCAATCAATTGAAAGTGTTTAATAAATTATTCTACTAGACCATTTTACATATGAATATAAGCAACATGTTCTTCAATAGTTATTCTAATTAATATGCAATATTAAAGGCTTGAGATGTAAATTCACTAACATTATCAAGACGAATTGTCTTGATTACATAATCAGAAAAATGTGCTTCCAAATAAATGATTTGGGCAATTAATCTTGCAAATGTCAAATTACAAGTTGATAACAAATACACATTTACCATTCAGTCCATGCATCAATTAAAACTGTAAAATATCTCAATTAGATTATGAATTCATATATAACCCTAAATATGTTTCAAAATGTAAGAAATTCGATCTGAACTTTAGTTAGTGGTAGCCTTATAATTTAGTTACCTTGAGAGCAAGCAGTACATGAGTGGTTTATTAGATTGAAAAATCTTTTAGTTTTTCAATGAATGATCATATTAATTTTCAATAATTTTTTGCATCATTATTGATTCAAGATAGTCTAATCTGTTATACCAAATATTAAAATAACTAGTAAACTTCTAGTTTACAATGGATTTCAATTATTTTAATATTTATGTAGTTTAATCTAGAGAATAAAGTAAGTAATTTTGTTTTCAACACACATTTCCTACTTGAGATAATAAATGTAATATAGAGGTATTAAGTATTTTTTTTCATTTTTTGTCTCAATATGATATCTATTTAGACTAATTTCTTTAAAACTTAATAAACTTCATTAAGATTTAATTGAAAATAATACATCTTCTACAATAAACTTTATTCCTCAAAGTAGTAAAATATTAGTTCTTTCGAAGCCTTCCATTAATCTCGCACTACCAGATATTGTGTTGACATCAATTTTTCTGTTGTCAAGTGAAAAATATTTCTTGTTGTTAAATATGGTATGCATTGTAGCAATGTCGGCTAGACATATAATTACATCATAGATCTTAGATCCAACAAGATAAATATCCATATTTTTTTCAATTAAATAAAATATATACAATAGAAAATTTACAAGTTGACATGAAAGAACATTAAATACATAATTAAAGCACACAATAAAAACATATCATTTAAATACAATATAAACATATTAAAGCATCTTCATAATACGGTTATACTAAAATATACCAATTACTATTAAGTTCATTATTGGATATTTTCATTACCAATTAAATGATTAATTCCTTTTTCAGGACAAGAATATCAACAATGGATATTTTTATTACCAATCATATAATCAATTCTTCTCCCAGGGTGGACAAATATCTTGTGTGCTATATCAATTTGGTTATGGTTAAAATCATTATAAGATGTTTTAGCTTTCAGTGATGCTTAATAAAATTCAAGACGTATAACAACTACGTGACTAATGGTCTTTCATGCCACATAAATGATAATACATTTTCTATATTCTTTTTATTCTTTTCATTTTTATCTTTTTATTATTCATTTACTTCTGGTGGATTGAAAGTATTCATCCCATTTTTGGTAAGTTATAAGTATCCATCCACTTTTGGTGGGTGATCCATTTATGATAGGTTATCCACTTTTAGTGAATTATCCATTTTTAATGAGTTAGTAGATTAAAGCATCTATCCACTTCTTATGGTAAAATTATCTACTCATTTTTTGTGGTAAAATTATTCTTAGATTCTTATGGTAAAATTATTCTTAAAATTAAAATAGTGATAGTGTAAATTATTATGACGATAATAATTATTAAATGATATTGCATTTATTTCAAGGAATATATGGATTTATGATTATGACTATAATTATTAAATGTTGTCATATTCACTTCAGAAAATGGATGGATTTATAATTTTTTATTAGAAGCTCCTTTGTCGCATTGACTTAGAGAATGAATATTCATGATTTTTTATTAATAGCTATATAATAGCAAATTTACTTTTCAATTAAGGAACAAAATATAATATATACTGCGTGATATCAAATTTCATATTAAGATTGATTTTAAAGAAATGAAAATACTAAAGAGATATCAAATCACTTACCAAATAATATCAACAATTATCTGATTTGCTAGAATTAGAAATCAAAACCCAATCTTTGAAAACCTTTTGAAGTTTGAAGATGATGAAAATAAAATAATACAAAAAACTTGAGAAATTAGAGAATCATGTTCATAATGTGTTATGAAATATAATTGAAAGAACAACTATAAGAGAAATATAAGAGAAAGTATTTAATTTTTTTTTTAAAAGTATTTAGATAAAGTAAGAAGATCTTATTCAAATGAATATTTACAAATAAATTGAGGGACCTATTTATGGGCAAACAACCCTTGAATCATAATCTTAATCTAATTCTATCTGTTGAGCTGTTGAATTATAACATAATGAACATTCACACATTTATTCATAACAATGACTACTTGTTTTTCTTTAATTTTTCCTTGTTTTCTTTTTTTTTCTTCTCTTTCCTTTTTCATTTTTAATACAAAAAAAAAGTTAAAAAAATTTTGTTGGGATTGTAATTGCTTGACACTTGTCATGCAATATTACGGCTCCAATTACAATCCCTAAAGGACCCAACTTTTATACTAAGTAGTAATAATAGGTTATACTATTATTTTAATCAACCTATTTAAATAAATATAGAAAACATATTACATTTTGTAATGTAAAGCATATTTAAAAGGAAATTAGCTTTCTTTAAAAGAAAATAAAAAAATTATCATCAATTATAACATGTAATTATGCTGACTGAACATTAATTATATATTGGACCGAGACAAATTTAGACAATTTTATCAATATTCTGATAGGAATAAAATTTCGTTTGTTACTTGGCAAAAAAAGAAACTCCAAGTGGGCCAGTTTGCGGCCCATTTGTAGTCGTCATCTTGGCTGATTGCTGGGCAATCAAGATTCAGAATCTGTACTATGCTGCATAAAACGTGCTTCTCTCTGCGCCCGAAGTTAAACTTGAAAGCGCACCGTTTCAAGTTTCAAGCTCAGCTTAAACCCTAGGTACTCTCTCTACCTATACATATCATTTTTTTTTTCTGTTAAGTACTGTTACGTCGGGTCTGTTTGATTGCTGAGGAATCTGAGCAAATGGAAAGGAAAGAAAAAGTCAAAATTGAGGTTTTGTTTTAGTTTGGGAAAGTTTCCTTTATCAACCCACTGGTTTATGCGGGTATGAACGTGTCTGTAATTCTGTTTATTAGCATGTAATTTCAGCCTGTTCATTTCCATATATATAATTTTGCTTTTATTTGATTATATGTCTGGTGCCTTTTTTTATCTGCCCATTGATTTTTTTTTTATCAGCAAATTTGATAATTGATAAAGGCGTTTATCAGTAAATTTGCTTTTGTTTACACTGCTCGCCATTTCCCATTGGTTGGAACCAATTTGGACTCTAAAGAAAACCGGTTGCTTTGACTTGTTAGGTACTGATTTTAGTCAGAATGGGGATTAGGTGTACTGCTTGTTCTTTCTTGTTTGTAATGTGTACTCTTACAATTTTAAACAGTTGAATTTAATCAACTTGTTTCAATGGTAGGTGCACATATCCCCCTGCTCAAAGGGCTGGGTCCAAATCCCCTTCCCCTTTCGAACTTCTTCCAGCAAATTAATGAATTTGACAAGTTTCCTTTTAGGTTTTTATGATTGAGAGTTATTGGATGCTGTTAAAATCTTGAATGAGTTTTGAATGATAGCGAACAATATTTTGTTAGCATTTGAAACAATAAGATTCATGCTGTTACTTAAACACTTGAGTTGATTGTGAACTATGTTCTGAGAAGCATATGAAATTTCACAGTGTGAAAATTTGACCTCATTGAAAGCCTCTGAAAAGTGGCAACTATATCAGTAATATAATGGGGCTTCTTTCTTGTGGAAGGTCTTTGTTTTTCATGTTACAGGTTCTCTTATATTAGCTCTCTTTTTACCAGCTCAAGGTCCACTAGCCAATCCCATCTAAGAAAAAACGCCCTTTAAATGTTGGCTTTGAAGAAGCGATTTGTTACCAAGCTGTCTTTTTGGGAATAATGAGAGAAACATATCGATCAATTCTGATTCTTCCTTTTTTTATTCAAGCTTTAGTAATAACTCTGTTTTTGCTTGAAATCTTGTAGCCTTTAAAATCCTTCAATAAGATTGTAAGTTGAGAAGAAATGAAGATTGATTGCTCAACAAATTCTTTTATCTGCTTTCCTTTCTATCATCAGTAGTTGGCAGTTTTATAACCCCTCTTTTTCGTTTACAACTGACAGTATCAGTAATTTCTCAACCTTGACTACTTCTAGATACAACATGCATATGCCTGGGGCAGTAGGAAGTTGTTGAGAGTACAGGATGAGTACAAAGGTTGACCATACATCTGCCGTTGAACCTCACAGTGTCAACATGTCTGCAACAACTACCTCATCCACAGCATCAACTACTGGCCCAAAGGTCTCAATGTTTGCTGCAAAGACTGGCTTTGTTATACCAAAAAATAAATTGTCGGGTTCATTGGTTCCTATCTTCCGAGGAGGTAAAAAACCAGGAGTAAATGACACTGCCACTGAAGATAATTTGAACCAGGTTCAGAGGAAAACAAAATGGGGCCCTGACCTGACACAGGATGCTGCTGTCATAAAGGGGAGAGCCTTAGCTTATCAGGTATTTGTACAATTCTATGCAAATGCCCTTTTAGAGTCAGTTTGTTTTTCTGATGCTAATTATTATCTTAAAGAAATTTCTTTCAACTTATTTCTTTCTCTATTGAGCTTTTGAGTGTCAAATGTTAGAAGTTCTTTCATCTAGTTTAAAATATCTTGAGTAGTGAGTTGGAGGCATTTGTAGCCCCGATTGTGGGAGGAATATTTATATTGCTCAATGTGGTGGCAATTGAACATTTCCCTTTTCCCATTGGGTGCTAAAATGTCAGTGTCTTCTGTGTGATTTCCTAGCATGGAAACTTCACATTCCAGGTGCCATTAAGTGATATTACTGCCTCTGTGGTGGTCCAAATTTTGAGCAGACTCGGGTGGATCAGATCGTGCAGCAGCTGAAATCAGGAAATCTGGATGTTGGGGATCATGAAGACTCACCATTAGATGCTCAGAATTTGGTTAAAAAATCTTCTGATATTCAACTTGATAGTGAGGTATAGATACAGCTAATATTTTATCTCTGTTAATATCTTTTTATTGTATTGATTTATGGGGCATTTTATGTTTGCATCTTACGTAGAATTTGTGAATGTAGAAGTTAGAACTTTTGGAGATTGAAAGACGGGAAGCGATCGGTAAGTTTGACAGCTTTGTCCCATTGATACTTTTTTTCTCTCTTCTCCATTTGGTTCAGTTTTTATCCATGCTTTTGTTGGACTTCCAGGTGAAATACTAAAGTTAAATCCAAGTTACAAAGCACCGGCGGATTATAAACCTTTATTGAAAGAGGCAGTAGTTCCTATCCCTGTAAGTCCATTTTTATACTGACATACTACTGCATCTGGTTCTCTTATGTCACCCTTTTCCTGCATTTTTTATTGTCCTGCTGAAAGAAACAATATATTTAAGTAATTAATGGCAGTTTTGCGGATGAAAGTTTTATTGAAAACTTTGTTCGGTTTGGCATGTTTAATTTTTTCTTTCTAGTAAGCAGCACTTTTAGTACATAATAAGGTTCACATTCTTTGTTTCTGCATTTGGATTCCATACCACATCCTCTGTGATCTGAAGATCCCTCTCTATATCACCAGCCTGTTGGAGTGGAATCGGTCGGGTCAAATAGAATTAAATATAATTTGACTGATTTGGTTTTGAAAACTTGTAACTCAGAATATTTCCCTTTGAAATATATCGTGGTTACGCATTATAAAGTATGACAGAAGAATTAAGTATTATTGTTTTAAACTACAGGATATCTGATGATCAGTGATGACTTAGTGATATGTGGTCCTAGGAAAAGCTAAATAGTTAAAGATACACTACTCACACTAGGGGAGCATTTGGTTTACGGCATCTTGGATGTTCCTTGGGAATAGATTCCTCCCATAAAGATTCCGAAGTCAACTTGACAGTAATATGTCTTGCTTGTGTTTCATTCACATACTTGGAATATAATAGTACCTTGTTTGATTAATTGGGAATATACATTCTTATCATTTTACTAAAATGCCCTCCAATAATAAAGTAATAAAATGAACTTATATAAATGCAATTCTTTATAAAATTAAACATATTGGAATCATAACCAAGCAAATTGAAGACAACATATGAACAATAAAGCCTTTTTATCACTATATAAAGGCATAACTACTTATAATGAGTATAATCACATGCATTCAGTGTTAAATATTCTAGAACATTTCTTAATTTTGCTAATAAGAACTAAGTTTCCATATTTGGATACTAGCAAGCCAATTACATTGAACGAAGTTTGTCCTATAGAAAAAGTTGCCCAAATTTACAACCGTATTTTTTTTCTTAAACATATCATTTTCCAACATATAAGGAAGTTGCCCATAATGTGTTCTTGTTATAGGAGGAATCATCTACATACTTGTTAATGATATCATTTCAATTTTTTGAGATACTTGTTGTTTTGTCTCATATAAGTTCCAATATTCTAGAAATGTAGCTTCTGCAACCCTTTGATCCTTATACATCTTATGGTGGTGACACAGTGAGTTAGCATGAAAACAAAGGCTAGCACTTAACTAAGCCTTTAAGGTTAATAACTAAGTTTCAAATACTGAAACTTAAACTCAAGTTTGAAAGAACTCAGTAATGATATTCAATGATTCAAAAAACTAAGCCTCAGGGTCCTATTTATAGCATTATAGGCCCAAATCTTAATAAAACTCTACCTTGGATTGTCTAGTACAACTAGAGTAGTTAACAAGAGATTTAAATCAAACAAATGTTCTACTCCTAATTAAAATATGATTATCCTAAAATTCAAATACAGGTAAATTAAATAAAAGGGAAATTCTATTATTCTTATAATTCTTATGTAGGACTCCTAACTAAACAAGGAAAATATTAAAATTATGAACATGCCCATTTATGACTTTTGGGCTTTTGGTTTTGGCTTCTGACGCTCAGTCTGCTCTAAAAAATTATCTACCAGACGTTCTACGTTAGGTGGGCACTATTATAAATCAAAACTTAAATATATGTTCCATCATTGTCACTAACCTTCTACTAGTAATATTGGGTGCATCCCTTTCAACGACTTAAATCATACAATCTACTAGTGCACTTTCTTCCTCAAGTGTTCATACTTTCTTATGAGTTGTCATTTCTATATTATTATGCAGTTCACAGAATTAATATATGTGTGCACAATTGTTGAACATAGAGATTATATGCTAGAGACAAGCAACTTACAAGGAAATTCCCTTTTATTTCAGTATGCAAATAGAGACAAGCAAGCTTAGAAGAAACTCACAAATATATGCTAGAGACAAGCAAACTGCTATGTAGTTCTTAGTAAGATATTAGTAGTTGCTCTGTGGATGTCTTATTTGCTTATGCCATCATATTGGTAAACTGTAGCCGAGAATCACGTGGTCATTGACCTAAGACCAATTGGTGATTGCTAGCTGTGAAGCTGGCTGATAAACTGGGAAAAATCAATTCTCTTGTTTAGGCAACTTGTAGGGCTGTCTTGAGACAAGATTATTTGGCTACTTGTTCTGTGAAATAGTGGTTGGCTCAGCAGTTTGGAAAACTTAAGAGCAGTGAAAGTATTTTTAAGCCTTGTGAGTTTAGGGTTTTTTGGCTGAAGAAATAAGACATTGGGGTTCCTTCTTCCTTTTTGTTTATCTCAAGCACTTAGAGCAAACATATTCTGTGAAGAATGAGAGGTGTAGAGAACATGAACAAATTATTGGAAAAGAAGCTCATTCTAAGCTTGAGGAATTGACCACTCGGATGATTTTCTTATTTAGGCAATCCAGCTGTGAAATGCTAAATTATTCACAGATAAGGTTGATAGTTGATTGCATCACACAATCACAAGAGCAGTGATGATGCTGGAAAATCTAAAGCAACTGAAGTTGACAATTTAAGGTAATTATAAACTAAATCCTAAGGACTATTATATATGCTAAATATCAAATATAACCCTAATTAATACTTGAAAAATAAAGAAAACACTAATTATTAATTAATATAAAATAGCCTAAATAAGAGAGACTAGGTTTAGTATTTAAACGATTAGAAAACAATAACAATGAACAAAGCCTTTCCCCTCTACATGAGGTTTCTTACATGGATTGCCACTGTGCTCTATTTAGGTTCGTATCATGAGTAAGGTCAGTGAAAGCAAGAAGGCCCCTTTTTTTTAATAGTTTTTGCTCATGTTTCAATTATCAGAAATTTATATTCCACCCAGGGGCAAGGGGGTTGGAAGGGGCCTTGGGCGGCTTTTGAATCCTGTGGTACTATGGTAGTTTTTGTCAACCAAAAAAGGTTAATTTTAATTTTGCACCCCTCCCCCACCACCCTGCTCCACCCCCCAAAATAAATATTGTATCATCACCCCCTTTTATGATAATTTGTACCAATTGGTTAAGAAATTTATTGTTTACCAACTTTTTAGTTCTAACCTCATTTTTTATACTATTTTTCATCTATACACAATTATACTTGGTTTTTAACTCCCTCAATTATGAACTTACCTTTACAACTAATTGGATGAATATGTTACATTAATTATTACATCTAAGATTCTACATTAACTTTAAAAAATTTAATTGCTATATTTTGCATACAAAATCAATTGGACATGTAACTTTCTTTTTCTTCTTTTATTTCCCATCACTCCTTTAGTTTCTTAAAACTTTTGCAAATTCTATCCTTCCTTGGAAGAAAAATATTAGTTAAACTTTAATTTTTTTTCAGTCCTTTATATATGCAATATTGACTAGTCCCTTTGTACCAAATTGAATTGCCACTTTAATTTGTTTTGGTCAAACAAAAATAACTTTGACCATTATTTATTATAATTTTATTTGTAGTTACAATTTTAAAAAATAAGTTTTGAAAAATCCTAAACTCAAAATTTTCAAATCTTATTTTTTGAAAATTTAATTCCACATAGTATCAAAGTTGGTTAAGTTTGATCGGGAAAAACGAAGTGGACGTTCTTTTTTACTTGTCAAAAGATTCTATATCTTTAATTTAATCACATTACTATTTCATTTGAATTCAGTATTACAGTTTTACGATTTTTTTTGTTAAAGAGGTTTCCTTTATTTTGTTTAACTCTTAATTCAATTATATTTAAATATATAGGTTATGTTAATTTATCCCCCCCTTTCCCCCAAAAGTGAAAAATTCTGGCTGCATTCCTGATTGCCCCTACTATGTTGTTAGTTCCTTTTATGTGGAAAGTTGCATAGTCTGACACTTTCAACCTTAATAAATTAATGGTAGTATCATATTATATTATCAACTGGAACCTGGTGTATTAAGGTGTCAATTGCTCCAAAAATAAAAGAAACCTGACCTCTTTAATTGCTTTAATGGATTAGCAATTGTTATGGAAACCTCCAAATTTGTTTTGATTTTTGTTGCAAAACTATTCTCTCTCTGAATATAAATAAACTCCTTCCATCCTTTCCTCTATGTACATCAAACGCTTGAATATTATGATAATATATTACTTTTGCAGGTGAAAGAATATCCTGGATACAATTTTGCTGGTCTAATATTTGGTCCTGGAAGTGATACTAAGAAGCGGCTGGAAAAGGTAAGTATTTGGTTTGTGCTGTTTTGTGTGATTGGTGCCAATATATTATTAAGGTCATTGAGCCCAATAAAAGATCTCTCTCTCTCTCTCTATGCAGACATGTATGTGGTCATACATGTGTATATATGTATGTACATATATATGATATGCTCTTCATGAGGAGAAAATTTATAATTAACCTTTTAACTTGCATATCAGGAAACTGGAGCTAAAGTACAAGTGCACGGCATTAAAGCAAATACTAGACAGAAGGTAATTCTTTCAGCTAAGAGAAAATAGCTCTATCTAGTTTGAATATATGCTTCAAGAATTATTGAATGAGTCATTATTGACTTTATATCTACTCTTTCGTTGTCAGGTTGAAATTTCTTCACCTGATGGTAATGAAGCCCAGGATGCTTATGAAGAGTTGTATGTTCATCTATCAGCTGATACCTTTGAGAAAGTTGATGGAGCAGTTGCATTGATTGAGTTGCTAGTTAGTTCAATATCAGTGAGTTTTATCACTCTAAATTCAAGAAAAACTCTCCAAGAAATAGAAAAAAGGAGATGATGATGAAGAAATGATATTTATTTACTGTTTCTGCTTATGTGTGGTTTTGTTTATTGTTTCTCTGTTTATGCTGTTGTTCCCGCTGTTCTTAGTATTGCTACTGAATTATGGAAATAACTATTCATATCTTTTCTGCAGGAAACTTTGGGAACTAGTTTGGTGCCTACTTCAGTATCGGGGAATAATGTGAATGTTCTTAATCAAGCCCTGGACATAGCTGTTTCTTGTGCAACTGATAGTGCTTTAAATCAGGAAGTGCCGCAACTTACACAAGCTTCTCTGCAAGGTCAGTTTCAATACCACAATTCATGGTTCCCAGCCAGTCCTACACCACTGAATTTTACAGCACCAATTTTCAACAGTCCTGTATCTGCACAGTCCTCACCTTCAAGCCTGCCTTCACTCTTTGGGCCTCGACCAGCTTCTGCAGCTGGATACAACTCAATTCTTCAAAACTCATCCTTTATTTCATCCAGCCCACAGCTGCCAAGACAAGTATTATCACAGCCATATACGCCTCAGATGCATCCTTTGGTTCATCCTGGCCCTCCTAGAAATCTTCTTCTCTCGAATCCAAATCCTGCATCAGCTCAACCTAGCGTTTTATCTTCACTACCATTTTCTGGAAGCCAACCCCAAGCTCTAGGGCTACTCCCTAGCACAAGGCCATCAATGCCTTTGTTTCCCCAAACTGCATCTACTGTTTCATCAAGACCACTACAAGACCAGCTGGAGGTACCTGCAAGAAGCTCCACAGGCTGGTCAGGCCCTTCTGCTTCCCTAGGTTTGAACAATGTTGGGCAACTGGCTCCACCAGTAGTTCTTTCCCAGTTGCCTCATCCTGTTGTTCCACAACCAGTTGTGGCATCCAGTTCCGCTGCCCCTCAAAACATGTCAGTAACTTTTGCAACAGGGCAATCTGGTCCTCAATTAACCAGTGTACCTATTAACCATCCTTCCATGTCTTTTGCTCCTGGTCCTCCACTAGGGTCTTCCCCTGCAATATCTGCCCCTTTACGTCCAACAGCAGCACCTCTACCTATGCCTGTACCAACACAAATGCGATCCTCTTCGCCTGTCATTTCCATGGCACCATCACCAAGTCCATCCATAAATCCAGTGATGGCATCTAGACCAATTCTCTCACCAGTTCCATCCACATCATTATCACCATCCCTACCAGGAGGAATTTCAGGAAATATGGCAAATTTTACTTCCATAAATCAACCTGCAAATATAGCTCCAAGGCCACTACATGCAAGTTCTGGTGATTTCACTTTTCAATCTCAACAAGCACAGGTTCCACCCTCGCCAATGGTCCCAAGGCCAGGCAGTCGGGCAGCAAATCCACATGCTCTACCCCCTAGATCAGCGGTTCAACAGCAAGCACCTACAGCACCATCTTTCCAGTTTGGTGTGCCCAATTCTACTCCCCATCCTGTGATGCAAGTGTTTCCCAGACCACAGAGTGGCAACCAGATGGGTTTGACACAAACTGGCATATCTTCTTCACTGCTCAGTGCTAACCCAAACGTCATGTCTGCTCCACCCAGACCTCCAGCATTCCCAAACACTGGCCCTGTTGCAACTGGATTGAGAAACTTTGTTCCATCTCCCCAAACACCCAATATGGCTGGTCCCTTTCCTTCCAGGCCAGGGCATCCTTTGCAACTTCAACAACACTACCCAGCTCTGCCAACTAGGCCAGGAAATTTCATGTCTCCAAACCCAGGATTTGCTGGCGGTGTTTTTCTGCATTCTAATAGGCCTGCGTCTGGACATGCTACGGGACACCAAGTTTATGATCCATTTGCTCCCACATCAGTTCCTCTCGTATCTCAACAGCAGGGAGGTGGTAAGGCAAAAGCAAGAAAACAGGAAAGTGATCCCGAGTACGAAGATTTGATGGCTTCAGTAGGAGTAAAGTAGTAAACCATTTTGATCAATTTGTTATGACAGCAACAATCCGGAAATGAAATTTCAAAGGTTTCTAGAAATTAATTTAGCCTTTTTGTTTGGAGATGTACAATATCCGGAAAAAAATAAGGAAAGAAGTTCGTTTCTGCTTGATTGCTGATTTTATATGCATCTAATCTGAGTCTGACTGCCTGGGTATGTTTAGGTTTTAGGAAAGAAACGAGATTTTATAGTTTTGCAATTAAAAAGGTAGTGGCAGGCTGTTCCAAGGTCCTCAACTATGTCCTTGAAATTGTCAACTGGTTTTGGTTGAGATTGAGGATAACCTTCTTCTATTGTTTCAGGATCAACTTTTGAGAAACTACTATATCTAGGAATTAGACAATTCCTAAGATTTTGCTATTACCACTGTCTAGGTTGACAAGTTTTTGATTCCAAAATGAAAGTAAGAATCTTTCTAAGGGAAACTCAATACTTGGGGTATCTATTAATTCTTTTTTTTTTTTTTCATTGTAGAGGGCCATTTAAAGAAAAAAAAAATCATCCATAATAGCTGCTTAGTCATAGAAAAAAAGAAAACACAATGCCTAAATACCTTTTGAATTCAATTTATACTTCCTAAAACTAAGATTGGGACTTTATAGAGTCAATTATTTTTAAGACAATAAAATCAAACAACCTAAAAAATTCATCAGAATGAAAAAGGAAAAAGTTGTGACAACTCAAAATGGAAAGAACACACAAAAATCCAACGAATCCAAGTCACATTCACAAGAAGGCTCACAACCCAAAACGCTGAGTTGAACCCATGGAGAGGAAAAATGAAAAAGAGAGAAAAACCCCAAAGGAACATTCAAGAAAGAGGTACGACGAAATCCCACAAAGACCCCTTGAAAAAAAGAGAGAAACCCCAAAACACCCGCCGAGATTGTCTACAAAATCCAAAACGCCCATAGGTTTTGCCCAAATTACCAAAGCACACCAGCCTTCTCTTTAAAACTTAGCAATCAATTTACGGTGCCAGGTGTCGTGTTCTGAAGGTGCTTTCAAGGTTAAAATCATTGTACGTTAATTATGACTTGATAAATAAAGAAAAAAATCAGCTTAAATAATGATAAATAACAAAGATAGATATCTTAAGTTAACATAATTAAATAAAAACCTGTTTGGTCTTCCATGAGGAGTGTTATTCGAGTAAAACTGTTTCTAAAGGGTTATAAATAAAAGCAAAGATTGTAAGAATATTTAAGTAGTAGAAAACTATTTGATGCTATTTTTGTTTAGTTTTAATTAAATAAAAAAAATAAAAGACTCAACCTTTTAGACTAAATCATAAGTTTTTAAGTGAAAAAAAAAATAGAATTAGAAACAACAAAACAAATAAAATCAATAGAAATATTAGATCAAATAAAAAAGATTTTTTCTATAATTTTATTAATGATTGAAAACTAAAGTAAAAATGTTTAAAATTTTCATTAAATATTTATTAAAAAATTTCGTCTAAAAATCACCTATACTTCCCACCTAAGTTAAAAGGTTTAAAATATTGAAAATCAAACATCTTGCAATAGTAACAAAAAAAAATTCTTTGATAAGTTGGTTTAGTAACTAGTATCGAATCCCATTGTGTTCAACAGCTGCATTATCAAAAAGCTAAAATAAAATAAGAAAAACAGCAGCAACAAAAAATTCAACCATAAATATAAAGCACTGTTAACCATGATCTAGTGTCAAGGGCGTAGATCTCAACTTAAAAGACTAGTTTAATGGGTGAGATTACCATCCTCTTTTTAAACCTAAGATCATTCCAGAACCCACGCCATGTCGGGCTTAGAATTTCTTCCATGTGATAGCTAATCCTTGAGTCCTCGTTAGGGGATCCTCACCACCATGTGCGTTCTGAGACATAGTGTCCTTGAGCCACACGATAGTATCCTCAAAGTGGCTCGATGCCCCTTGTGACATCAACCTAGAAAACTAATACATTAGCTAGGGTGATCATCCTTCTATTTTAATGTAAAATCACTCTGGTACACATTTGTTAGCTCAATAGCATTCAAATCAATTTTATGTTTAGAAATAACAAAAATAAAAATGATCAAAATTTATCTAAGTTTTGGAATATCAAGTTTTTAAATCTCCAAATGATGTCAAATGAGTTTAAAAAAGAAAAACAATTGAAAAGACTTTGGAAAACATATTCTGGTCCAAATCTATTAATACATATTCTTGAAAAAAGTCAAAACCTGAAAACTCAAACTCAATCTATCGATACATTAACAAATGTGTCGATAGAAATGCAACAAAATACCTATTACCTTAAAAGTATCGATGTATAGACAAATGTATTATATATTTTAAGTAAGATGTCAAAACCCTTGTAGGCAAGTTCAAATTTATCGATATATGTACAAATATATTTATACATCTCAGTGAGAATTCAAAAATAAAAGAAGAAATGTATTGATACATTCACATATGTTTCGATACAATATAGTTGTTGGAGCCTTGAATGAAGAGAAGAACGGCTACTTTTATATTAAATGCATACCCAACTACCCTTGAAGCTTTAGCAACTATAAATGCAAACTTTTTTAGCATTTATGAAGGTTGGAAGACTTCAAAACACAACTCAAAAAAAAGAATTAGCCAAAACTCATTCAAAACCCATTGTGCTCTTTTTTGAATCTTTAAAGTCTTTTAGTTTAGCATTTATTGGGCTCTCACCTTTTCATTAAACACTATACCAAACTTGCTATTCAGCCTTTAAAAGGCATATCGACTGCACCTATACTTTTCTTATTATACTTACTTAAGTGGTTATACCTTAACCAATATAAAAGGTAAAATGGTCGTGCTCTAACCATAAAAAAACAATGTATTGAAAGGTTGTGCTTGATCCACAAAAGGCATTGTATTGAACTTTGATCAATAGTAAATTTTTAAACTCTTTAGTAAATCTAAGGGAGAGAACGTAGGCAAGGATGCCAAACCTATATAAAATATTTGTGTTAGTTTTTTCATTCTCACTTTTACTTGCAATTTAAATTTCTCTTATTCACTAACAGTTCAACTACTTTGTTTGTTTTCAAATTGAGCATTTAAATTAAAACGAGGATTCCACCTTCTTGAAACAAAATTGAAAAGGATTTTTTAAAAAATTTCAAAACAATCCAATTCACTCCCCTTTTGGATTTATTCACATTGAGCTTATTGAACTAACAACATTCAATATGAAAACTCTACACACACTTATACCACATGATAGCTCTCTCAACTAATCCTTTGCACTCATATTAAAGAAACCCATAAAATCATGTGGGGTCTAAGTCATAATGTCCCTATACCCACATAATAATACACTTGAAGTGACTTTGATACTACTTGTCATGGATTTAGGTCTCAACCTAAAAGATTATTGAGTGAGATAATCATTTCTCTATTTAAGTCTAAGATCACACTTACACAGTTAATGTGAGACTTAGTGTCATAAATTACCCTTTGTTGCTTAAGTATGCGATAGTCAATGTGACGTTTGAGTGGATGCTTTCATGCAAGCCAGCCAATAACTCGTTTATATCTGAACAAACATCAACTATAGCCACAAATTAGAGTAAAGGCAACACACATTGAAATTATAGGGCATGTCGAATGCCATATACGCAATCACTAGAGTCACATAAAGAAAAATATTTTATTAATATGAAAATAAGTACAAAGGGACCAAGACAAGCCATCGTTGGGCCATAAGGGTAGTTTTTGATGATTGGCTACAAACATACTTTTACCAGTAAGGTAGCCCAACAAGCCGCCAACTGCTCACCCCCTATATAGAGTTTACAAGGATTTACAAGTATTTCACCAATAACTATTATAATGTTTGAAAGGGGGACAACTCCCTTGAAAGTACAAAAGACTTAATCCCTTATGTAATTCTACCTTGTCATAGCCTTATATAAAATTGATTAATGACATCCTCTTTCACTCAATCTGTCAATGTCTTCATTGATTGGTTGGCTTGGAATTCTTCAATCTTCCACTTGGAGGCACAGAGATCGACTTCTTTCTCCCAAGTGATTTCATTTTTCCGTAGACCTTCTTATTTCACTAAATACTCCTATATTGGTCGTCGGTTGATTACGGTTATCCTCTCGGCAAGAATCTCCTCTTCTCAACGTTGTGATGGTGGCTTAGTGGTAATGGTTGCTCTCGTAACTTGACTCATACTTCCATTTGTTGGATCTGTATGGAACGACTTTAGGTTGTTGACTTAAAACACTGAATGCACTTTCATCCACTTAGATGGATCAATCCTGTAACACCCCGTACCCTCGTATAAGAGCCAATAAGATCTCATCGATTAGATAAAGGGTTGATGGATGTAAATTTAAGTACGAAAGAATGGTGATAGGCGAAAGGAATATTTTAGAATAAAATATTTTGTACACGGGGACATGATAATTAAATAATAATAACTTATCGAGGATGAATTAGCAAGATAAAAAAGCAATTCTGAAGTGAACCGAGATAAAGTGAGATATTTTGGATCCCGACGAGACAAGTTGAAAATTTTGAATTAAAATAATATTTTATTAATAAAATAATATTAAAATATTAATATTTTATCTGTCGTTAAAGTTAGTCATGAAGAAGAAGTATATAATTAATTTAAGTGGGGGAGAAGAAGTAAGAATGAATTTTGAAGAAAAACGACTTTAGTGGGGTCCTCGTGCCTTTATTAAATAGAGCACGAGCGGGTAAGTATATATTTAAATATTATGGTGATGCATTGATGAGGTGCAAACCTTATATTATATTTGTACACATGTAAAGGAAAGAAACTAGAAGGAAATTGGAGATTAAGAAATTTTGGAAGGACTAAATTGTGAAGAATGAAAAGTTTTGAGGGTCATAGGGAAAACAAAGAAAAGATTGAGGACTCATTTGCAAATTCTAATATTAGAAGTTAAATGGGAGTTTACTAACCAAAGAAAGTTAAATTATGAGGAATATGGGATATACATGTAAAAGTTACTATTATATACAAATTATGGTGTGAAAAAAGTAAAGTTAGTGGGGGACATGTGGGACCCCACCATGTGATAGTTGATTAAAAAGAAAAGAATAAAGAGTATTAAAGTGGAAGAAAATCATGGTTTGGCAAAGATAGCCCATGGTAAATAAAGTAAGGGTGGAAATGTGAGTTGAAAGAAAAAGAAAGAATAATTTGGTTGCATGAAATTTCATTGGTCTTGAAGGAGGTCAAATAGGATCCAAGAGTGGAAAAATGCATAAAATCTTATAGGTTCATGGGATGGCAAAGGCTATATTGGTAAGGAACAATATGCATGAAACAATATTGGGTGATAAAGTGGCCAAATGAGTGGATGACAAGTGGACCTTAAAGAAGATGAAATGAAATGCAAATTGAAATGAAATGAAAGGAAATGATGCCATTTCCTTGGGCAATCCGCCCAGAGTAAAGAAAGAAATGGAATGGAGACTATTTTCACTTTGCTTTGTCCACCACTTGAGAGGAAGAGAGAAAAGAGAAAAAAAAGAAACATGCAAAGGAAGGCTAAGCTTTTAGGAGAAAAATGTGGAGAAATCAAGTGAGTTTCATGGGAGATCCGTCCATTTAGAAGAGAATGAAGAAAGAATGGCTTGGTGAGGCTTCCAACCGAGAAAAAAAAAACAAACAGTGAGTGCAAAGGCAAGCTAAGTGAAATTTCAGTTTGGGGGAGCCAAAGGAAACCGAGAGGTTTTCCCCCCCACCCACACTCCATTGATGAAGTTAAAGGAGATTTGGTGATTCGGTTTAAAAATTCCAAGGTAAGGAACGTAGTAACTATCATTTTGTTTAAGATGCATGTCTTTGAACCGATTATAATGTGAGGTTTTTCTTGTTGTATCAAGGATCTACAAAGATTCAAAGAACCCGATGCATGCATGTGGATTAATCTTGGAATGCATGTTGATTTTGGAGCTAGACAAGCTATGGGTAAATTTTTTAGTCTTGAAATTACAAGTAAACAAGGAAAATAATATGTATATTGATTGCCTTTGTTTGTGGTAGCAATGGTGACTATGGATGTGAGGAAATTGTGAACTATATGTGTGGAACTAAAGCTAAAACTGAAAGGTAAGCATACAATGGGATTGCATGGTGTTGTGTTGGCATTGGTTAATTGACAGTATATGGATTACATGTTAAATGATTGTGAGTAAAGGTTAATGAAAACTATGAGATTAGGTTACGGAATTATTGATTGATGTGCTGCCATGTATGTGAATAAATTAAGTGTATTGAGTTTATATGGTTGATAGGAAATGTATGAATCAAGAAAATGTGCTGTGGTGGCATGCCGAAAGAGGTAACGGGTAACCGGCAAGTGAAATTAGCTAGATACGCGCCCGAATCAATAGTGATGTAGTATCCGCTATTGTACGTTAGTAAATATTGATGGTTTTCCTAAGTATAGTTGTGAATAGCATGAGCTGTTAGCCTTGTTAGGCAATTTCAAATGGATTTACAACAATTTATATATTGCTATTGTGGAAAGCATGAGCTAGTAGAAACTATAGGAAGTTTATGGGTGCAAATTGTTTGAAAGGAGTTTTGGACATAACTATAGATAAACCATATATGTAAAAAGCTTTCGAAACTAGGAAACAAGCTTTTCACAATGTTTGTATCAAAATTTGTGCCTTGTGTTTTTGTGTGATATGCATAGTTGAGAGCATTTGTTAAATGATTTAAAATGCAAAGTTTTAAGCTTCAGTTTTATTTCAATTTTTGTACAAGTGATTACACCATACCATTTAACTTGAAAAGTAATTTCAAAGGGGTTATTAAACCTTGATTTGAAAGGATTAAAA